CCCTAACCCCATCCCCATGCCCATCCCATCCTTAACCTCATTGCCATCCCATCCCATTCCCAACCCCATCCCAACTTCATCCCCATCCCACCCCTAACCCCGTCCCTATCCCACCCCTAACCCCTTCCCTAACCCCATCCCATCACCAACCCCTTTCCATCTCCATCCCATCCCACCCTTAACCCCAACCCCATTCTCATCCCATCCCTTCCCAAACCTCATCCTATCCCCATGCCCATCCCATCCCTAACCCCATCCCCATCCCATCCCTTCCCTTTCCCAACCCCATCCCATCCCCAACCCAAATCACCCCCAGGGCCAGTGGCTGCCCCACAGGTGACCTTGGGGTGCCCCTACCCCGCACACACCCCTGGTCCCCCCAAACCTGTTGTGCACCCACACCCTGTAACGGCCCCGTGGGTGAGCAGTGAGGCTCTGCGTGGCTGGGGGTGCCCTGGCTCGGGGTGCAAGGGGTGCAGGGCCATGGTGCCCTCCCTGGGCAATGCCACCTCAGAGGAGGAGGAGGAGGAGGAGGAAGAGGGCAGAAGCCCTGCCCGGGAGCTTCCACCTACACCACACAAACCCCAGCCCCCTCCGCCTCCTCCAGCCCCAGGCACCCCGAGTCAGACCCGTGACGCTTCCAACGGGTGGTTTTTTGCCCAAATCTGTCCGTTTGTACAGAGCACTGCCAAAACGATGCGTGGTTTTCCTCCCCCCTTCTTCTCACAGATGTTTTTTCCACTTCAAAACATTGTAAATGAGAACATTCTTTTCCATCTCGTAGCTCCACAAAATACTCTTTAAAGCACCTACTATTTCTTGGTGCCTTCCTGCCTCCAGTTATCTGCAAGCCTGGAGGAGGGGAGAAGAGTGATCCCTCCCCTGAGCAAATACTCTGCATCCACCTGGCAGCGCCCTGGCTGAAATCTGTATCCCCCCTCAAACTTTTAGCAACTTCTTGCACCGGACAAGATGAAATACACTTTACTCTGCAAGGCTAATCCAAAACCACTTTGCAAATCATAAGGATAAAAACCACTGACAGGGACTTTAAGAGGTTAAATCGCACAGCTTGTCTTCATCCTGCTGTTAAATTACAGTGGGGAGGTATGAAAAAACACACAGTTTTGCCTGCTCAGACCAAGCCTCCCTCTTTATATTGTTTCCTTATCAGAAAAAAAATAATAAAGACGAAATCTCTATGTTAAAAAATCACCAGGTACGTGAACATCGCTCGTGTTCTCCGCAGGTTCTCTCTTTTGCAGGTTTTGCCACAGCCACTGCCATTACCCTGCCACGTCCCGGTCTCTAGGACGCGTACTCTGAGACTCACGTGTGAGAAAACATTTCCAAAGCGCTTTGTGTTTAGGGGTTGCCAGTGGTGAATCCACAGAAAACTTGCCAGGGATCCACAGGGCACGCGTGGGCACATGGATCCGGCTCTCCTCACCCTCAACCACCGGCTTTTTGGAACTGAAAGCGTGTGCAGGGCTTCCCCGCCGTAACTGGGGGGCGGGATCCCTTTCCCTGACACAATTTGGGGATGGGATCCCTTTTCCTGGCATAACCTCGGGATGGGATCCATTTCCCCAACATAATTTAGGGACAGGATCCCTTTCCCTGACATAACTGAGGGACTCGATCCCTCCCCCTGACACAATTTGGGGATGGGATCCCTTTCCCTGACACAATTTGGGGATGGGATCCCTTTCCCTGCCATAACTGAGGGACGGGATCCCTTTTCCTGAGATAACTGAAGCATGGGATCCCTTTCCCTGCCATAACTGAGGGACTCGATCCCTTTCCCTGACACAATTTGGGGATGGCATCCGTTTTCCTGGCATAACTTCGGGATGGGATCCCTTTCCCCAACATAATTTATGGACAGGATCCCTTTCCCTGACATAACTGAGAGGTGGGATCCCCTTCCCTGACACAATTTGGGGATGGGATCCCTTTTCCTGAGATAACTGAAGGGTGGGATCCCTTTCCCTGACATAACTGAGGGGTGGGATCCCTTTCCCTGACACAATTTGGGGATGGGATCCCTTTCCCTGACATAACTGAGAGGTGGGATCCCCTTCCCTGACACAATTTGGGGATGGGATCCCTTTCCCTGACATAACTGAGAGGTGGGATCCCCTTCCCTGACACAATTTGGGGATGGGATCCCTTTCCCTGACATAACTGAGAGGTGGGATCCCCTTCCCTGACACAATTTGGGGATGGGATCCCTTTCCCTGACATAACTGAAGGGTGGGGTCCCTCCCCCTGACACAATTTGGGGATGGGATCCCTTTCCCTGACATAACTGAGAGGTGGGATCCCTTTCCCTGACACAATTTGGGGATGGGATCCCTTTCCCTGCCATAACTGAGGGACGGGATCCCTTTTCCTGAGATAACTGAAGCATGGGATCCCTTTCCCTGCCATAACTGAGGGACTCGATCCCTTTCCCTGACACAATTTGGGGATGGCATCCGTTTTCCTGGCATAACTTCGGGATGGGATCCCTTTCCCCAACATAATTTATGGACAGGATCCCTTTCCCTGACATAACTGAGAGGTGGGATCCCCTTCCCTGACACAATTTGGGGATGGGATCCCTTTTCCTGAGATAACTGAAGGGTGGGATCCCTTTCCCTGACATAACTGAGGGGTGGGATCCCTTTCCCTGACACAATTTGGGGATGGGATCCCTTTCCCTGACATAACTGAGAGGTGGGATCCCCTTCCCTGACACAATTTGGGGATGGGATCCCTTTCCCTGACATAACTGAGAGGTGGGATCCCCTTCCCTGACACAATTTGGGGATGGGATCCCTTTCCCTGACATAACTGAAGGGTGGGGTCCCTCCCCCTGACACGATTTGGGGATGGGATCCCTTTCCCTGATATAATTGAGGGATGGGATCCCTTTCCCTGACACAATTTGGGGACGGGATCCCTTTCCCTGACATAACTGAGGGGTGGGATCGCTGCCCCTGACTCCCCCCCCTCCGGCTCCTTTCCCCGCCGAGCCGGGACGGCAGCGGGACCAAACCGGAGCCAGGCGGAGTTCAAACGTCTCTTCCAGCGTTTTCCTCCGGCTAAAACAACCGCCAGCGCTCCCCTCGCTGTCTAGAATGAATCCTGCCTTCCTCCTCCTCCTCCTCCTCCTCCTCCTCCTCCGACAGCCCCAACGAGGCGTTCCCGCCGCGTCCCGTCGGATGAGGCAGCGCAGCCCACCCAGCGCGCCCCGTGGGTGGGCTGCTCTCGCCCACGGCCACGCCGGGCTCTGCGTGGGGTGGGGGGGGACCCCCCACCCCCAAAGCCAACGCAAGGGGGCACCCCGAGAGCAGGGCCCGAGCCGTGGGTCACCTCGGGGCTCTGCTGGGTGGCGTCTGTTAGCGAGGGGTTCAGAAAACATCATTTCTCCAGGCCTGGCCTTGACCTCCCCACTGTTTGGGTTTTTGTTTTTTGGTTTTGGTTTTGTTTTTTTTTTTTTTTTATGCCCAGGGGAAGGTGCCCCGTGGCCATCGCACCCCGTGGCCCGCAGATTCCCCTGGCCGTTTGCCATAATTAAATCTCCATCCAAGGGCAGGGTTAACGACGCCGCTCCCAGCCGCGCCCCCATCCGCCACCTCCGCTCGGAAATCTCCCAAGTCATCGCTCAGCCGGAGGCGCGGGGACACGCACCCCCAAACCACAGCCCCCCCTCTGTCCCCCCCCCCCCCGCTCCATTTACCCCCCAAACCGCCGCTGCACCCCCCCCCCCCTTCCATTTATCCTCCCAAATTTCCAAACCGCCCATGGGGAAGGGGTCCCACTGGCACTGGGCTCTCCCCTGAACAACCGCTGGGGGGGGGGGGGGGGGCACGGAGCCCCCCGCCATCCCCAGGCACTTTAGTGCCTCTGGGGGAGCAGCTTTGCTCCCCGGGGTGCTGGGGTGCAGCGGCATGCGGGGGGGTTGAGGGGGGGGGGCGGGCACGGCTCGGAAAAACTCACGGGGCTGTGGCAGTGGCTGAGCCTTCAATTAAAATGGAGCTGGGGGTGGGGGGCTGATTGGGGGAGGGTGAGGTTCAACCAACCGAGCCCACAGACCCCCCCAAAGGCCCCCAGGGGTCGTCACTGCACCCCCCCCCCACACACACACACACACACTGCAGAAACCTCCTCTTCCTCCAGATGGTTCCCCCAAACCCCCACTCGCGGGGAACCCGCGCCCCAGCACTTGCTCCTTTAAAAACCCGCTTGGAAAATCCCCCTCCCCAAATCTGGGGGCCCACTCCCTTTAAAAGCGCTCCCGGAAACCCCACCCTTAGCGCGCCCACCCCCTCGGAGCTTGCTCCCTTCGAAAATAAATGAATAAATGAATAAATGAATAAATAAATAAATAGATAGATAAATAAATAAATAAATGAATAAATAAATAGATAAATAAATAAATAAATAAATAAATGAATGAATAAATGAATAAATAAATAAATAGATAAATAAATAAATAAATAAATAAATAAATAAATAAATAAATGAATAAATAAATAAATAGATAAATAAATAAATGAATAAATAAATAAATAAATAAATAAATAGATAGATAGATAGATAAATAAATAAATAAAAAAATAAAAAGCCCGCCCCGAAACCCACTCGCCCCAAACCGCTGCCACCTCCAAACCCCCCGCTCCCCCCCCCCCCAGCCCCCCTTTCCCCCGAATTCCTCCCTCCACATCCCGCTCCGCACCCCAACCCCGCAAAAAAAAAAAACCTCCCTCCCCACCCCTCTTGCTGCCTCGACCCCCCCCCCCCCCCCCGCCTCCTCCTTCCCCGCTCCTCCTTCCCCGCCCCCCCCCCCCCCCCCCCCCAGCGCCGGGGCGGAGCGGGGAGGAGGAGGAGGAGGAGGAGGAAGGCTGAGCGCGGCGAGCTCCGCCGTCGCGGAGGTGAAGCGCTCGGGGTCGGTCGCCTCCGTCCCCGCCTGCATGCGGGGGCGGCGGCGGGGGGCGCGGCGGCCGGGCGGGATGAACGGCTCGGCGGCGGCCGGTTTGCTGGCGGGCACCGGGGCGGCGGCCCGGGAGCTGGAGCGGGCGCTGCGCTGCTGCACGGCCGCCCCCGCGGCGACCGACGGCGGCGGGGGAGCGGCGGCGGGGCCGGCGGGGGAGCGGGGCTCCTACACCCTGCGGGTCGTGCAGATCGCCGTCATGTGCGTCCTGGCCCTCACCGTCGTCTTCGGCGTCTTCTTCCTCGGCTGCAACCTCCTCATCAAGTCCGAGGGGATGGTCAACTTTCTGGTCAAGGACCGGCGGCCCTCCAAGGAGGCGGAGGCGGTGGTGGTGGGGCCGTACTGACCGCCCGCCGAGCGAAAAGACGCACTTTTTCTTGGTTTTGCCTTGTTTTCTTTTATTGTTTTGGTTTTTTGGTGTGGTTTTGGTTTTTTTTGTGTTTTTTTTTTTTTTTTTTCCACCCCGAGAGCCCGGAGGCCGGTGAGGGGCAGGGGGGGGTACCCGACGTGAGCAGCCCGCCCCCCCCTCTCCTCCCGCCTCCGCCCGCGGGCTGCCGAAGTAAAAAGTGTGCTCTGATGGCAACAGGTCTGGGGTTTCTTATTCCTTCCGCGCTAACAAACCCTTCCGAGGCCCCTTTCGAGGAGGGGGGGGCGGGGGAGGGGAGGGGGGGCTTCCCCACCGCCAACCCCCGGGGTGAAGAGAACACCCCCCCCCCTGGCCCGACCTTTACGGGTTTTTGCCTTGCAGCTCTGCCAAAACCTGCATTTTAAATGACTTTCCAACCCCCCTCTCCCCACCCCGGGATGCCCAAGGCTGGGGGAGCGATACCCGCGGAGCAGGGTGGGCTGTGCCCCCCTGGGGATTTCGGCTTCGGTGGGGGAAATAACCCCATACTCCCCCCCTGGTGTGTCCCCCTCCATCTGGGTTTCACGCTAGAAAACCACTATATGTACTTTTTCTTAACCCACCTGGAAGCCTCACCAACAGGTGACTTCTTACAGCCACGTTTAAGGGAGGGAGAAATTTATGCTTGCACGGAATTTGACTTATTTTATTAGTTTTTTTCTTCCTCCGTCTCCTCTGTAGAGATAACAGAGCATCTTTCGATGAGAGGTTTGCATAGCTGCTTGTCATACTGCCGGGGGGCTTGCGCTGGTTGCCGGTGATAAATCAATGTATCGACATTTGCTGTAGGAGGAGTGGAACCAGCATAAACGCTTGCTGGGGATCACAGCAGAGGGATGGGGGCAAAAAGGTTCAAGCGACCTGCCTGTGAGAAAATATCTCTCGTGACACCCAAAGTCCTGCGGTGAAACTGTTCATTGTCAATATTTGTAATGCTGATAAGAATCGGGAAGTTTTCCGGAGAAGCCGTGCAGCCTTCAGACCGCTCGGTTTCCCTCGGTTTATCCCGAGCTGGCATGAAGGTGGCCAAGCTACCGAATGCTTATAGGCGTCTTTAGGAGATGTTATCAGAAGTTTCCCTTAGGAGATGTTATCAGAAGTTTCCATTTGGATAGGCAAGGTGAAACTCAGCATTTACAAAATGCGCCAGAGCTCGAGGGGGATGAGATGAAGCTGGAGTGAGACAACGGCTTGACTGGGGGGAAACTTTTGGTGGAAAATGAGACAAAACAGAGTGTCTCAGTGCAGTCGTGTTGAGCAGAAATCTCAGCCATGTACTCGCTCATTTACAGCTACATTTAAGGGAAAGACAAAGAACAGCTCTGCCTGTTCTCTGGGAAACAAATATGCCATGGACTTCGTCATTACATCAAAACAAATGTTACTAAGCCATTATCAGCTGAAACATCGGTGAGAAATTTAACCGAAGCTCTCCTTTCTTTACCCCTTAGGGCTGGAGAAACATGAGATAAAGCAGGATTTTAAAATAATACGGTAAGAGGGAAAACTAATGTAGGTGTTTCAGTCATTAAAAAGCATTTCCAACTTTCTCATTTGCATCACTTCATGGTATTGCAGATAAAACAATCATTCCCGTAATCCTGACTTGCAAGGAGTGCACTGCATGTTTGATCACTTCGAGAGCTAGACTCATTAGGCAGTCTTTATTAATTATAGCGAGCACTTAAAATATAATACATTTTGATTAACCTTTGCCAGAAGCCACCACTTTTTCCAACATCGTAAATCTGAGGCACGGAAAACTCCCGGTCCTGTAATGAAACTGCAGAATTTTCAACCTCAGCCCAGGAGCACGCGTGGCCTCGTGCCTCTCGCCCGAGGATCCCTGACAAGGTGAGAGCCCCAAACCTAATAAAGCACTTGTGACTCTTGAAGCCTTGTGAAGAGACCTCGTTTTAGGCAGGGAACAGTGGGGAAAAGGGTTTTTCCTACTCGATGGTGCAGAGATGCTCAAAGATGTCCGGTCCATCGTTTTTACTTGGGCCTCTCTCCCTCTCGGCACCGTGGGGACTCCGGGACTTGAGAATCGAAGGAGACCTGGGGTATTTATAATGCCTGGGTGGGCAGGAGGATGACTGTGGGGGAAGGAAACACCTCTCAGGCACCAACAAGGGCCCCGGCACCCACCTCACCCCCGCGTTGGCGCTGGGAGCCATCTTTGGGCAGGTACCTCCTCCCCGGCCCCCCCCCGGGCGCTACCAGCACCTCCCCGCTTGCCAAAACCAGCTCTTCCAGCCCAGAGCCCCCCTTCATCCCGCCTAGACACGCGGGTGAAGCCACGACCTGCGTGTTCCAGGGGTGGGAACCCCACGGCCGGCATTTCTTTTTCAGATGGCTGCACGCGTCGTGTCAGGGACGTGTTTAGAAAAGCACCTGGAAAGCTGCCCGGAGAGTCTGTGGCGTCAAGTAAAGCCCCGTCAGCTCCTAGAAGGTGCTGGAAACAAAAAATCTACCTTGCTGCAGTGCTGAGGTATCGGGAAACGGGTGGATTTGGGATAAAACCAGTGTGGGTACCCAACGGAGGGCTCCACCACTTTGCAGTTGGTTTGAAGACAGTGCAAAGAGCTGACCTGCTTCTTTGTACTTGTCGCTTGGTTATTCATCTTAAATGGTGGAGTATGACCAATTTTACCACCAAAACTTGAGGGGCCTTTCGTTGCTGTGCATTCCCGTTTCTCCATAATGTTTCCATCTCTGAAATTCCCGGAGGAGCTGAGAGGGACCTGGTAGACCTGATGTTACTGTCAGGCGTGAGCTCTCACCGGGGAGATTTCCAGTTTGTGAGGAAGCCCTGGGACTCTCAGTGACGGCTGGGGCAGGTAGGACTTGGTGGCAGGACCTCTCCCAGCTGGATTCAGGCTGGGACCTCTCCCTGTGGCCTCTCAGTGGCTGTTTTGGAGAGAAAAAAGCCCCAAAAGTCCAGACAGCCCCAACCAGAGCAAGTCCCTAACGTGGCACTATTTGCAATTCTTCTCAAATCTCACTTTTCTTAAGTCAAGGTCGAAGTAGTCTCACCTTAGGCTGTCTGCATACCTAATTACTGTCTACAAAGTAATAACATAGTAGTTCTTGCTTTCACCCTTTCAGCTCAAAACGCGTGCTAATCCTCCAGGAGAAAAACCAAGAGGCATCTTAGTCACTTCCCAAACGCTCACTGCAGCGGCTTGTTCGATATTTTAAATGGGATTCACTTATTAAAAACACTCCAGCAACGGCAATTGCTTTTAGATAACCCTGTGAATGTACTCAGGCTAAATTTGTCTAGAGGGCTGTACAATTTTAATTGTATGCTTTCCACATCTTTTTGGTAATAATAATCAAACACTGTCTGAAGTACACAGAAAAGGTGCATTTTAGCAGTTCAGACATATGCAGGTGCGGGGTTTTATTCCAATTTCATATTCAGGCAAAATCCACATTAATTTTTAAAGCACTGTAGCTTTAAAAATATTACAAAATAAGAGCCCGCTGTTCGCCTGCAGTTAAACCCCCAAAACTTCACCCTAAGTGACAGGCATAGCACACATTGCAGCTTCATGATTTGCTGTAATATTTATCACTTTATCAGCAGCCATCCCGGACCGCGCAGCACTCCCAGCACAGGGTGCTCACCCCAGACCGGACCTGGGAGCCCTTAATGGAAGGGTGTTTCCTAAAAAATCTTCATGTTCGTACTCAGCTAAGCAGCCCATTTTAACAGGCAGCCCTGGCTGCGTTTGAGCCCATATTAATTATCATTAAAGAATGAGTCATTAAAAGCACTCCTCCTTTCTCGACAGCTCTGTTTGTGTGCATGAATGGATTATGCTGTTGTCATTGATTTCAGCAAACCGTGACTGGGGCTGTCTAACCAGTAGAGCTGAAGGAGCCCCGAGGGACATCAAGTCTTTCAATTCTTTTATATTATAAAACAGCAGTGTCCTCTCCATAATTAAGGTTTAAATTTGCTGTCCAAAAATCTAATTTTCTGTTAGCTCACCATTAGCCAGTGATAGCTGTTGCCCATCTCACTTGCCGGTGTGGCTGGCAGCCAGCTTTTCTCCCAGATAATTCAGCCAGTTGTGCTGCTCCCTGTCTCTGCTGCATCGTTACCGGCATGGCGATATGGGCTTCTTGGTCAAAAGAGAGAAAAATGGAGAGAGAAAAGCCAAAAAGCAGTGGGGAGTGTGTGAAATCCCAGGGGAAAGCACCATTGAATGGCACTGAGGAGCGACAAACTGAAACTGAAACAAAGGAAAACTTTCTTCTTACTTGGAAAAAAAAAAAAAAACCAAACAAACAAAAAAAAAACCTACCAAAGTCTGAGAAATTATCAGGTTCTGAAAAAAAGGGGTAGATGTTCGTAGGGAAGATGAGGGCGTGGGCTCTTACTTGGGAAGGGAAAGCAGGTGAACTACCTGAGGGCTTTGGCCCTTCACTACCAGCAGGGATGAGGGAGAGATGCAGGTGGGATGCAGGAGGGTTGTGGGTGGGATGCAGGAGGGATGCAGGAGGGATGCTGAAGGCATGCAGGAGGGATGTGGGAGGGATGCGTGTGGGATATGGGAGGGATGCAGGAGGGATGCGGGTGGGATGCTGAAGGCATGGGAGAGGGATGTGGGTAGGATGCAGGAGGGATGTGGGTGGGCAGGAGGGATGCTGAAGGCATGCAGGAGGGATGTGGGTGGGATGCAGGAGGGATGCAGGAGGGATGTGGGTGGGATGCAGGCAGGATGCAGGAGGGATGCGGGAGGGATGCGGGAGGGATGCAGGTGGGATGCAGGAGGGATGCAGGAGGGATGCAGGTGGGATACAGGAGGGATGTGGGTGGGATGCAGGAGGGATGCAGGAGGGATGTGGGTGGGATGCAGGCAGGATGCAGGAGGGATGCGGGAGGGATGCGGGAGGGATGCAGGTGGATGCAGGAGGGATGCAGGAGGGATGCAGGTGGGATACAGGAGGGATGTGGGTGGGATGCAGGAGGGATGCAGGAGGGATGTGGGTGGGATGCAGGCGGGATGCAGGAGGGATGCAGGAGGGATGCAGGTGGGATGCAGGAGGGATGTGGGTGGGATGCAGGAGGGATGCAGGAGGGATGCGGGAGGGATGCAGGAGGGATGCGGGAGGGATGCAGGTGGGATGCAGGAGGGATGCGGGAGGGATGCAGGTGGGATGCAGGAGGGATGTGGGTGGGATGCAGGAGGGATGCGGGAGGGATGCGGGAGGGATGCAGGAGGGATGCGGGAGGGATGCAGGTGGGATGCAGGAGAGATGCAGGAGGGATGCGGGAGGGATGCAGGTGGGATGCAGGAGGGATGCTGAAGGCATGCAGGAGGGATGTGGGTGGGATGCAGGCGGGATGCAGGTGGGATACAGGCAATCCAGCCCCATGGCTCTGAACCCCCAGCCTCTCCTGGGGGGCTCCCCCAGGACACCATCCCCCAGACACGCTCACCGCAGCGTGGCCGGAGCCACCTCACACAGACACCCCGAGCCAGCACACATTTTACACCGGACTTGGATGACTGTGTTGCAGAAGCTATTTTTAAAGTAGTTAAGAGCACCCGCTTGCATTAAGGCTTGGGTCTTCTCTTGTCCCACACCAGCACGCATGCTCAGATGCAAATCTTTAACAGCACCATCTTCTCCCTTCCCTCCTTCACCGAATATAAATCCAGGCCAAGCGATGTAGGTGACCATATAATTTATCCTCTCTGTAATATATTTGTAGGGGGGTGCTGTCTTTATGGGACACCTTTATTTTTTAATGCCAAAAACTAGATTTTTTTTTTTTTTTATCTCTGGGGACCAGACCCAGTCACTGAAGAAAGAAGCCAAAGGAAGCCTGAACTCTTCAGGTCTAAGCGTATCCATCAATTTGGCCACCGGCAGCTTGGGACCTATTCTGCAGTTATAGAACGTATTTTTAGCGCATGGAAAAACAGTGTCACGAGCACATGATATGAAAAATACACAAAGCAATATATCACTTTTATGTCCTTTATTCTATCATAATCAGGTTAGGATTTTTTTTTTTTTTCTCTTTTCTTTCCCCCCTCCACTTGCTTCTATTTTGGATGTGTCTCCAAGGAGCCAGGCCGGAGGAACATAACGGCCCATCAAACCCACGGTGGCTGCAGGCGGCAGCGGCAGCAAAGCCGTCCCCCACGTCAAAGGAGATGGAGCAGCACGGCCCCGGCACGAAGGGGACGGGCATTGGGCTTCAAACAAAAGTTAGGGATGATTTTACAGTGTGATATCAATGTACTTGCACGTAAAATGGCAGGTTTGTGCTGTATTTGCGAACATACCATGAAATAAATAATGAATTAGTTGTCCCCGCTCTGGTTTGTTCCTGGATGATGAAAGCTGGTGTGTATATCCCGCTCAGACACCACTGACCACTGGCAAATGAGAGGAAGAGAGACAAAAATCACCAGGTACCTGGAAAAAAATACGAAGAAACAAATACACGTTAAAAAAATACGCAGTCTTGGGCAAAGAAATGGAAACAAGAGCGCAGAACGCGCGATGAGCATCTACAAGATGAACTGATGGGGCAGAAAAAACTTTGGAGATGAGCTTTATCCAGAAAAGATGGGCTGGGCTGGCAGGGGTCAGAATGGAACAGAGCAATTTTGCTGGTTTGTAGGAAAGTCTTGAAAATGAGAGATATTAGGCTGTGGCATAATCTCTGTAGGAAAGCTATAAAAATTCTCTTATTTACAACTTTTACTCCGGACTTGAGCATCTATTCCCCACAGGATATTGCTGCATTCACCCGCAGCTGGCCCTGGTTTGCTTGCACAACCTCCCCATCGGTGCCTGAGGAAATTCCCTGGTTAAGCCAATCCCTGTGTATCGCTGAAGCGACGGCAATGAAAAGTGCCGATCGTGCTGCAAATATTAATTACACATAAGCACTACTCAAAGGTTAACAAGCAAAGAAAACACGTTGAATTACGCTCAGCAATTTCAGGAAGTGGAGGAGAAAGGCAGTTCTCTTTAATTCACTCCCCTTCAGAACAGTGCTGGCTGTTTGACAGCAAGGGGGATGTTTCAAATCCTGTTACCCATTAGGGCATGTGTGTGTGTAATGGAACTGCCACTCAAAGCTTTCAAAATTTATACATTCAGTGTTTCACAAACCCATTCAAACTTTCATTAAAACCCCTCCACGGTTAACGAAAGCCACGTCTCCCCTTCCCTTGGCCGAATACAAACCCAGAGCTGCCGAAGAGCCGGGTTTGGGATGGAGGAGATCACCGAGATGATGGGGAGCTCTTCCTCCCAGGCGAGGCCAGGATTGGGCTGGTGCTTGTTCATTTGCAGAGAAATGCCCCGTAGACGAATGAACCTCGCTCCCCATCGCTGGTACCAGTAGTAACCCCAGCAGCAAATAATCCCTAATTCCAGCTCTCCGGTTTTCACTGGGAGTGAATCTCCTTGGCATGCTATGCCATGTTGGAAGAGAGGAAACCGTGCATTATCTCAAGTAATTTGCACATTCCATGTACTTGCTGCCACTTCTCCTTTTCAAATAGTACACATCACCATTTTTCTACATAAATAACACCTTGAACTTGAACAAAGCATATCCACAGGATATTCTTTAAGTGAGAAACGAATTACCTTAGGAAAAAAATGTAGCTTTATTGGAAAATGGGGCACAGCAGGTATTAGCTAATGATACCTAACATTTGTCGTACCTTGGAAAAAAATGAAAATACATACATTAATTAAAAGCAGACTTTAGGGAAAAATATATTAACTTGTGCTGTAATAAAAGCTAAAGGCTTCCAGGGAGCTCCATTGTACTGCGGCGGGGCTGTTCGGTTGATTTGATTAAACACGCGGGGCTCAGCGCTTGGCGAGATGGGGAGCAGCAGCTCATTGCCCTGGAATTGGGATAAGAGGTATGGGATCTCACAGGGAACTTGGAAAATCCATACAGGAGCTCCTGACTAAATGTCACATTTTAAATAGACCCCGTTTATCCACCCTCAGTGGATAAACTGCAACCCCACGCTCAGTCCAGCGACTTTCCTACATCAAAGAAGGGTGGATCAAGGAAGAAAACCACAATTGCCTTTATTCCACCTAAACTGTCTCAATGCTGGTGAGTGCTGCCTGTGGCACAGACCGTACCTGTGGGAGTTCAACCGTACCCATGGAAAGTGTCAAGTTAGACAGTAAAACACTTTTAATAAAAGATTGCTGCCAAGTATTGACACTCGGTCATTTGCGAACTAAGATCCGGGAGCGTTTAAAGCACTGTACTATTTTTTTCATGAAAGGCCCGTTCTGTGCTGCGATGTTGACATCCCATTACTACCACGGCTCAGTACCACGTACCATATACCCAGGGCTTGTAACTTGGTTCTGGCTTTGCTGTCCAGTGGGGCAAGGAGACAACAGCTTGTTTCATTTCTCAGCGGCGCTGCAAAAATTCATTCCTCTAATTGATTGAAAAGAGGGTTTTTAGCAAGACACCAACCTCTTGGAAAATGTGAACTGCCGTTGACTCAGCCTAGTGTTTTGAGGTAAAAGCCCTAAAATAATTTCTCGTGCTCGTAACCAGTCTAAGCAGGATGGATAGCCCCGGCTTTAGCAAGGGAGTTGGGGTGCGAAAGGCAATCAGCTGGTGGTGGACCGCTCCGAGTTCCTGGCTGGGAGCATGCTTCTTCCTTTATTCTTGAAATTTTTATGTCAAATGCCAAATGGATTCTGACAACCTCGGCACGCCCTGAACATGCAGCACCGCGAAACAGTTCAAACCTCACACTCATCCTCATCCTCACCGCTCGGACTGCTCCGTGGACACTGCCAACCATGCGCCCCGGAGCTTTCACCACGGCGCGCGTGGGAAGCAGCGCTCAATCAGAGAAACCACGATCAATTTAATAATAAAATGGGAGTTTTGTTGTTTCCAGAAGATTTGGAACACCCTTTTTCTTAGTAGCGAAGCACAGCAAAGGGAGGTTATGACCTCCAGCAAGCTGAATTTCTCACTGCAGGGCCAGGACACAGTATGTCTAAACTGCCCTGGGCAGATACTGTCTCAATGTTTGAAGGCTTCCAGAAAGGAAGATTCTACCATTTCCCTGGATAATTCATCCCATCACAAAGCACTTTTCCGAAAATCTAGCCTCACACATCTGCACTGCAAACTGCCAGTTTTTCATGATCCGTCCACAGCACCCTGGGGAAATGACGGGTCGTGTCCTTCCTCGCGTTACATGCCGGCGGTTGAGTGGAAAAGCAGAATTGCTTCTCATCTAATTCCAACGTTTCTTCACACCAGAGACTTTCAGGGGTTATTTTCTATTTGGTAGAGAGGTTCAAAGGGAACATCTGCCTTGCGGTAATTTACTTAGAAGCAGGGATGGGCACAGGGGAGGAGATTAACGGCAGGACACAGCGCTGGCGATGACTCCCAGCGTGGAGGAGCATTCTCGTCCTTCCTCCACCCCTGCGATGGTGCCTCCTCCTTCTCCTCCTCCTCTCTCACAACGCATTGCAGGAGCCCAAACCCCTCAGCCTCATGCCATCCTCCAGCTGCACAAGCTCTTTTCATATTTTAAAATCATGAGCACTAGCAGCTATGGAGAGGACTGGATGACCCTACTTGTTTCCTGGGGCCGCGCTGAGGAAGGAAGCCCCGAAGCAAAGCGCTCAGTGGTTGACTCACTTCATCGTCAGAGTTTTTTGTGTTGGAGCATCCCCCAGAGCCATCACTCTCCTGAAGAGCTGCCTCCGTTACCAACACCTCGGAGAAGTCGGTCAGCCAGGCAAGGATTACTTGGGGAGCAGAAGGAAGCCGGGACAAATTTGACCTAATTCCAACAAAATATGATTGTCTTGTGAAGATACCAGTCCCAAATCAGTGCACGTGGAGGTAAGTAGCTCTGATTCATACTTTAACAAGCCTGGGAGTCTTGGAAAGAGCTTGCCAAGGAGCAGTGAACTCCTCTGTTTAACACCTCTGTAGGTGTGTACTGGAATAAAATATTAAATATAATAATATGTGTATTCAGGTAACATGGAGAGATCAGTTTCACCATTGCCTTAATGAATCCATTTTGTAATTACATTGTGTCTAGAAAAATATCAAATATGGAGTTTAATTTGTCTCCATTTTAAGGAGAAACACCCCAACTGTTCCAATGGCTAGTTGTCCTCAAGGTTTAGAAATTACGCACCACATTTGTCTTAATACACCTCATGTCACACATAGATTTCTTTCTTTTTTTTTTTTTTTTTTCTACAGTGGAAGACTCTACATTATCAATTTCCATTTCGTGTGTGAGTCTTACAAAATCTAAGCCATGGAATTTCTTTCAATTAACCAAAAGACAAGCTTTTGGTAGTGTAACTGTGCTCATAGCACTTACCTGAATCTTTGCCAACAAATCAGTGTCGTTTTTCTTTTAATTTGGAATGTTAGAACTGGACACGATGTTCCAGTCGCAGACTCGCCAAAGCAACACAACCTCTCTGCCCCATAAATCTATATTCTTCTGTTTAAAAATGTGTATGGATGCTAACTGTTCTTTTGGTCCCAGTCTCACATTTCATACCTACCTTCAGCAGATTCCATTGCAGTGGCACAGAAACCCCTTCAGAACACGGGTTCCTAGGGCACAGTCCAAGAGGCTACAAACACCACCTACTTTCTTCATCCTTAGATACCTTTTCCATGTTAAACAATCTCAAAATGCACATTGCATGAAGGGTGAAGTTTGACTGATAACATCTATATCATATAAAGCCATGTAGATTAGCAGCAGTTCTATCAGCCTGTTGTAATCCATGATTTTAAAGTTTTACGGCTCCCCTGTCATGCCTGGGATGGGTGGATGGATGGGTGGGTGGGTAGGTGGGTGGGTAGGTGGGTGGGTGGATGGATGGATGGATGGGTGGATGAATGGATGGATGGATGGGTGGATGAATGGGTGGATGAATGGGTGGGTGGGTGGGTGAGTGGGTGGATGGATGGGTGGATGGATGGATGGATGGATGGATGGATGGATGGATGGATGGATGGATGGATGGATGGATGGATGGATGGGTGGGTGGGTGGGTGGGTGGGTGGGTGGATGGATGGATGGATGGATGGATGGATGGATGGATGGATGGATGGATGGATGGATGGATGGATGGATGGATGGATGGATGGATGGATGGATGGATGGATGGATGGATGGATGGATGGATGGATGGATGGATGGATGGATGGATGGATGGATGGATGGATGGATGGATGGATGGATGGATGGGTGGGTGGGTGGGTGGGTGGGTGGATGGATGGATGGGTGGGTGGGTGGGTGGGTGGGTGGGT